AATTAAAGACACCACCTTCAGAATCAACAAAAGCGAACATTTACTGAGCAGTATCATGTTCTGGCACTTTTCTAAGCACTTAAAATGTATTAACTTATTTCCATCGAACCAAAACAGATGTGCTGAGTAAAAAGAGAAAATGTAAATTGAGCTTTAGTTCCATTATGAATTTTGATTTCAGTTTCCATAGCTTGAAATGAGGTTTAATAAAAATGATCTTTAAAGGTCCTCTCCAGGCTAAACGAAGATTCTACATGTAAAAATTTGACTAACTAAATGTTAGTCCGGAAGCCTCTAGAGTGACCAGGCGGCTGTGGACCATCTCAAAAACACAGAACCCTGCTAAAAAAGAACCTATCACTACGGGTCTCAGTTCCTCCTGCTTAATATAGGTACAGTACATTTCCTATCTTTTTTTTTTTTTTTTTAAAGGCCTACATTTTTCTTCTACTTGGACACAGCTGATCAAACCGAGGCGAAGTCTGTTCATTGAAGGGTTCCATTTGTTGTGAAAAGTTTCGGTCACTTTTAATAAACCTGGAGTCAACAAAAACTTAAAAGAAATATTTTGGCCCAGTTCTGGCGTAAAAATATTTGTTCTAGTGTCTGGCTAAAGGGATCTAAGGACCCACTGACACTCAGCAAAAGACGTTCCACGTCTCAAATACACCCAAAACCTCCATGCGACACGAAAAGTGAGGGGCCAGCACGAAATTTCCATTAGGGGAAATTTCAGCTACATAGTTCAGGGCTTTCCGGTTCACTGTGGGGTCGTTGCCGCAGCTCACAGCCGGACGCCAGGCTACAAGCCCAGGGGTCGGTGGTTCACGCGTGGATCGAAAGAACCACGAAGGTTGAGGAATAACACTGACCCGTTAGGTCTTTCTTCCATGTCTCACTCGCCCCCATCAAAAGAGGTTCATTGATAGCTTTAGTAGCAAAATGAGTCACCTAGAGGTGCACGTCTGTAACACACACACACACACGCACGCACGTGGGTCTATGAGAACACGGAGGGAGACAATCGCCAGGTTTAAACCACACAAAAAGTACTTGGGAAACACAAAGACGCAAGACACACAACACATCAGGGATGCAAACGCGCGAGACATGCTCGGTGGGAACACAAAAGAGAGAAACGCGCAGCGGCCTGACGCTCGGGAGGGCGCCCGGCCCCACGTGGGGTCGCAGGTGGCCGCCGCCCGCACCGACCGCTCCCCCGCGGGGCGCGCGGCTCCGCACGGCGACAAAGCGCACCCCGAACTTCGCCGCGGGGACCCCACGCCGGCAGGGAGGGGCCCCGCGCCGCCACCGCCCCCCCCACCCCACCCCGCGGCAGGACCACCGACCCCGAGGCCCCCGCCGCGCCCGGGACCTCTGAGGGGGCGCGCCCGCCGGCCCGGACATCCCTGCGGCGCCGGGTCCCCTGCGTGTCGCCGCGTGTCGCCGCGCTCCTCGCGGGGAGGGACCGGCGTCCCGGCGCCGGCCCAGAGGCCGCCCACCCGCGCCGCTCCTTACCCGCGCCCGCGCCTCAGAGCGACGAGGGCCGTCGCCGCCGCCACCGTCCCGCCGGCTCCCGCGCCCGCGGCCGCGCCGCCGCCATCTTGGCTCCAGGCGGAAGTGACGTCGGGCGGCGCGGCCTGCGGGACTGCGGGGCCCCCGGACCCCGGACCCCGGACCCCGACCTCCTCGCTACCCCGGAGCCCGGCCCTGGGCCCTGCGCCGTCGCCCGAGGGCTACCACCCGGCCTCCCCCGTAGGTCACTGCGGAATCCATGGCGGCGCCTCGGGAAGGTGCTCCGGCGTCGCGGCGGGTCCTAGCGCACCCACGTGGGGCTCAGAGGTTCTCAAAGAATCGAAAAGGCCGGGCGCGGTGGCTCACGCCTGTAATCCCAGCACTTTGGGAGGCCGAGGCGGGTGGATCACGAGGTCGAGAGATCGAGACCATCCTGGTCAACATGGTGAAACCCCGTCTCTACTAAAAACACAAAAAATTAGCTGGGCGTGGTGGCGCGTGCCTGTAATCCCAGTTACTCAGGAGGCTGAGGCAGGAGAATTGCCTGAACCCAGGAGGCGGAGGTTGCGGTGAGCCGAGATCGCGCCATTGCACTCCAGCCTGGGTAACAAGAGCGAAACTCTGTCTCAAAAAAAAAAAAAAAAAAAAAAAAAAAAAATCTAAAACACTGGAGGAGGTGTTGGGCGCATGTCTACCGCTGGAGGTCGTTAAGCATCTGACAGGTGCATAAACATAGGCCTTATACCTCGCTGGTGTCAGAAGGACCGACCGGTAGGGCCTCGCCGAAAGAGATGCACTTCCAGGCAGGCAGACGCAGCTGGGTCTATCGGCTGCCCCGGTACCCGGGGGCAGTGCCCGGCGGCCGCCCTGTGCCCGCGCTGTTCCAGGGCAGCCCCTGAGAGCCCTGCCCTTAAGGAGCTTACTGTTCACAAGCGGGCGCGCACGTGGACTGCAGGGACGACGGCTCACAGATGCGCTGATGAAGATGAACTGGGTGGACCTGGAGACGGCTCTTCGGCATCCAAGGGTGAAGCCTAGCACGCGGTTGGAAATGAGTTGAGTCAGGGAGAGGCGCAGGCTGGAGATGAAATGGAAGGTTGGGAGTTGCCTGGAGCCTCGAGCACTTCAAGATAAAGTGATCCTCTGAGAAGGAAGTCAGGAAGAATCTGAACGTAATGGCAACGTTAACCCTCTGCAGAAAGCACCCGATCCAAAGACAGACCCCCAAAATTATGAACGATCATTTCCGTAACAGGTTTAAACTTAAGAAAAAGTGTTGTAACAACATATATCATGTTATCTTACTGTAAAAGGATGAGGCTATAGCTGATGACCCAGTCAGTTATAGTGAACAAATGAAGATCACCTCATCAGAGTAAATTTTATCAAGGCCTTGAGAAGTGACAGGATCAGCACAGAGCACAAGAAAGAAAAGCAAATCAAACCTCAAGGCTTTGCTTATTTCTTCCTTTATTCAAGGAAAAGAGATCCTAGATCTGAATGATGCCCACATGCAGGTCATCAAAGAAGTATTCTCTGTTGTAGAGCAAAATCATCAGACTTCTGCACCCCTTACCTAGATTAATACCTTCCGACCTGATCCATGTGTTGAAATTATCTGAGGTATCTCTGAAGAAAATAGGGAGATCCCACTGTTTATCCACATCCACCATCAAAACACTGACATAGAAATCAACATTTTAAGAGAAAAGCTATGGGCCACCTGGCATTCAATAGACTGCAAAAGGAGAATGAAGGACATTAAGTCAGAAGTGGCATGGTGAACCAGAATGTATACTAGATGGTTGGTTAACAAAGTAGCCAGTGGTCGCCTTTCCCGTCATTAATGCAAAGCAACTGGCTATGTGAGTTTCCTGTGACAACAAATTATCCCGAACCTGACAGCTTAAAACAACAGAAGTTTATTCTCTCACAGCCCTAGAGGCTGGAAATCCAAAATCAGTATCACTAGGTCAAAATCAAGGCGGCAGCAGAGCCAGGCTCCCTCTGGAGTCTCTACTGAAGAATTGCTCCTTCCCTTTTCCAGCTTCTGGTGGCTGCCAGCATGCCTTGGCTTGTGACTGCATCACTCTAGCTTCAAGGCCAGTATCTTCAAATCCTTGTATCCATCTTCGTATCATCTTCTCTGTATATGGTCAAATTTCCCTCTGCCTCCCTCTTATGAGGACACGTGATTGCATTTAGGACCCACCCGGATAATCTGGCCATCTCAAGATCCTTCACTTAGTCACGTCTGCAAGACTACATATGAAGTAGCATTTGCAGATTCTGAATGTTAGGGATGTGGACTTAGGTCTGGGGCCATTATTTATCCTATCACACTGGGTGTCTCCTCAGCATTTCTGAGTTCCTCCCACCCTTAATCAGCCACATGTTTTTTACCGGTGTATTTCTTGAACGTGTCTGTTTTTCAAACTGTACTATTTCTCACGGTAAATAATTATATATAATTTATTTAATCCAAAAAGATCAGAGCCATCAAAAATACAATAATTTAATGAGCACTTATTATCCGTATATGTTAAATATCACTCTTTTGCCTCTTTGGAAAGGTAAAGTGTATTGCAGGCTGTTTCTCTATGGGGATGGAAGTAGAAAAAATATATTTTGTCCAATCGACGACATGAATGAAACTCCACTCTACCCCAGTACACCTGGTACCGGTTCTGGCCGGTTTTGTGCCTTGCCACGGCAGTACCATAACAGAAGACATGATCATCATTCACCGTAACATCCTACTACCCAGAAGAAGATCTGTCACACAATAAACACTAAATAGATATTTTTAATGAGAAAAAAAGGCTTCTCCATGGCCCTCTTAATGTGGATATATTAGAGCAAATATGTTGTAGACCAGATCTTATGCACATAAATGACAGCCTGTTGTTGATAATGTTATAATAGGAACCACAGCACTCCTGCCCTGCATAGCAGCTGGAATGCCTGTAGCACTGCTTCCAAAGATTACAGATCTTATATCTGAGATCTAAGAGCTTACAGTACATTGCCAATGAGAATGTAAGTGGACTTCAAATTCCCCAAATAAGAACAATACTTATTCTCTGCTGGGCTCTGTTCTAGGTATTTTACGTGCACTCTCTCACTTATCCTCATAACCTGGGATAAGCTGAAGGTACTGAAGCTAGGAAGGGTTCAAGGACTTGCCTTGGCCAGGCACAGTGGCTCGTGCCTGTAATCCTAGCACTTTGGGAGGCCAAGGTGGGTGGATCATTTGAGGTCGGGAGATCGAGACCAGCCTGGCCAACACGGTAAAACCCTTTCTCTGCTAAAAATACAATTAACATGGTGTGGTAGTGCACACCTGTAATCCCAGCTACTCAGGAGGCTGAGACAGGAGAATCGCTGAAACCTGGGAGGCAGAGGTTGCAGTGAGCAGAGATCATGCCATTTCACTCCAGCCTGAGCAACAGAGCGAGACTTCATCTAAAAAGAAAAAAAAAAACTTGCCTCGTTAGTAATACAACCAAGCTAACAGGTAGTTTGGCAGGACAAACAGCCATCTCCCTCTCAGCTTAGGAAGGCTGTCCTAAGAATAGAACTAGCTCTGCAAGACAAGAGAGGACAATTTAAGATGGAAAAACATCAACAGAACCAGGTTTTGAACCTAGACAGTTTAGCTCCCTAGTGAGCAACCTCCCCACCCCCAAAGCATACATGCACACACACAAGTCTGAGAGCTAGAGCAGGAACTGGTCCATGCTACTACATGTTCTTTTTTTTTTTTTAGACGGAGTTTCGCTCTTGTTACCCAGGCTGGAGTGCAATGGCGTGATCTCGGCTCACCGCAACCTCCGCCTCCTGGGTTCAGGCAATTCTCCTGCCTCAGCCTCCTGAGTAGCTGGGATTACAGGCACGCGCCACCATGCCCAGCTAATTTTTGTATTTTTAGTAGAGACGGGGTTTCACCATGTTGACCAGGATGGTCTCGATCTCTTGACCTCGTGATCCACCCGTCTCGGCCTCCCAAAGTGCTGGGATTACAGGCATGAGCCACCGTGCCCGGCCTTACTACATGCTCTTAACTAGTCATTCCTCCACCAAGCTACTCAGGGTAGGGGCTGGGAAGTATTTTTTTTTTTACAATTTTTTTATTCATTGCCAGAATTATTAGAAAACATTGGATGCATAAAGTCGCCATTCTAAACCCTGTCCCTGAACTGTCAAACAAGAACATCTATTAAAAGATCATAGGCAGGGGCAGAGGAAGAGAATCCAGCACAGCTGCATCAAATGAACTTGGCTTTTGTTCAAATAACACATTCGTTTACCTTTAACAAAAAAAGAAAGAAAGAAAACTGAGTCCTTTTTCTTGTGACTGCAAATCGTGTTCCATAATGAGATCCAGTGACTCTTTTCTGTTATATCACCTCACTCTCCCCACCTGCCATCCCTCTGCCACGTCATTCACCTGAGCAAGGAATGGCATCCAAGTAAGCACCCCAGCAACCAAAGATCTGAAGCTTGCACTCCAGGTTCTGATCAGAGATGAACACGTGAAGTCCAAACATAGCAACTCCGGGGGCTAAAGATACATCTTATCCCGTCACAGGCACTTTTGGCTGCATAGATCCTGTGAGAAAAACTCCGCAGCCTCGGGGTGTATAGGCAGATCTTGGCAATGGTGAAATGCAGTTGTGTGAGAAGGGGAAAGGGGGTGACCTTTACTGAGCCCCAGGTCTGAGCCGGCACTTTATACCACATTGTCTTTTTATCCTCCCAACAGCAACAACGGCTGCTAATTTTGCAGATGAAGAAACTGAAGCTCAGATTGTTGAGAGACACAGCTGGCCAGTATAAGAAGCAGGATTCAAGGACTTGTCTGATGTCAAAGTCCATGATGAATTCACTCTGCTTCTGGTCATCAAGCCACTCTTAGACACTAGGAGCAAAGACACCACCCCTGCCCTCCAAGAACTTAAGATCCACTGGAAGAGACAGGACTTACAAAGGGTGCTCACTCTGGGATAAAACCAGAACCCATGGTCAACACGGTGAAACCCCGTCTCCACTAAATATACAAAAATTAGCTGGCCATCGTGGTGCGTGCCTGTAATCTCAGCCACTTGGGAGGCTGAGGCAGGAGAATCGCTTGAATCCTGGAGGCAGAGGTTGTAGTGGGCGTTGTGCTCCAACCTGGGCAACAAGAGCAAAACTTTGTCTCAAAACAAACAGCAACAACAACAAAAAAAAAACAACTGCATTTCTATGCTACCAGCATGCTTCATGATGGCTCGCTCCCACACCTTGTTCCATTTCAGTATTACTCTTAAGAAGAAAAAAAAGAAAATGGACTCCAAGATGTTAAATTTTTTCTTCCTTTCCTTTTTTTTTCTTTTTTTTTTTTTTTTGAGACAGAATCTCATTCGGTCATTCTGTCACCCACACTGGAGTGCAGGACTGCAGTAGTACAATCACAGCTCACTGCAGCTTTGACCTCCTGGGTTTGAGTAGTCCTCTCACCTGCAGAATAGCTGGGACCATAGGCACACGCCACCATGCCTGGCTAATTTTTGTATTTTTAGTAGAGATGAGTTTTTGCCATGTTGCCCTGGCTGGTCTTGAACTGCTGGGCTCAAGTGATCTGCCTACCTCCGGCCTCCCAAAGTGCTGGGATTACAGGCATGAGCTACCACACCCAGCCCAAGATGCTAAAATGTCTAACCAATTCAAACGTGTGGCTCTAGAGATAACTTTACTCCATTCTGCAAAAAAATCCAGAGCACTGTTTCTAGGGTTTCCCATTATACTTCCTATATCACATTTTTTAGAACCAAACATGTTAATAAATTAGTTGAAAAGTTCGGAAATTCCCAAACAGATGTCACTCCTTTCAAAACTTTTAGTGTAACAAGCTCAAAGGCCCACGTAGTTTGTTCCAGAGAGTACAAAGGGAAGTTCAAGTCTTCCTTGAAGGCAGAATGAATTCGCTAATACACCACCCTGAGAGCATGAATAAAACATATACATTGACAGCAAAGGCATGAAGTGAAAATATTTTTCAGCTGGAAATAGCAAGCAGCCTGAGAAGGAATAGAAAATAAATCAGGGCCAGAAATGTGCAGATTGCGCTGAGATAGTAAAACCCTAAGCCTGGATGTGTTTCCCCAGATTTGAAGCTATAGTGTGTTGTCTTACAAGGTCGTCTGTAGACGAGATGACCCATCCTACCTACCCAGTCAGTACTCACTCGTCGCCAAGGTGAACCATCTCTTTTTTTTTTTTTTTTTTTTTTCTGAGACAGAGTCTTGCTCTGTCACCAGGCTGGAGTGTAGTGGCGCGATCTCAGCTCTGACTCCCTGGTTCAAGCAATTCTCTTGCCTCAGCCTCCCAAGCAGCTGGGACTACAGGCACGTGCCACCACGCCCAGCTAATTTTTGTATTTTTATTAGAGACAGGGTTTCACCATGTTGGCCAGGATGGTCTCAATCTCCTGACCTTGTGATCCACCCATCTTGGCCTTCCAAAGTGCTCAGATTACAGGCGTGAGCTATCAGGCCCGGCCAGAGAACCATCTCTTATGCTGCATCTGTGCTTCTCACTGTCCCCACCTGTGTTCTAGAAATGCCAGCCTCTCCATTTTCCTTCACCCCGTTTTTTGTCTAAGATTCACTCCTCACCCCTTCTCACTGGCATCCAAATTTTGCCTTTCCTCAGAAGCCAGCTTTTTGATGAAATCTTCCCTTCATTGCATTAGTTTCTTAGGGCTGCAGTAAACAAGTCGCAAAATAAATCCAGTGGTTTCAAACAGGGGTCCTCAACCCCCAGGCCAGGAACTGGTACCTTGTTAGGAACTGGGCCACACAGCAGGAGGTGAGCAGCAGGCAAGCGGAGGAAGCTTCATCTGTATTTATAGCTGCTCCCCATCACTGGCATTCCCGCCTGAGCCCCGCCTCCTGCCAGATCAGTGGCAGCATTCGATTCTCGTAGGAGCATGAACCCCGTTGTGAACTGCACATGGGAAGGATCTAGGCTGTACGCTTCTTATGAGGATCTAGCGTCTGATGATCTGTCACTGTCTCCCATCACCCCCAGGTGAGACCATCTAGTCACAGGAAAACTGGCTCAGGGCTCCCACCAATTCTTTTATGTTGGTGCAAAAGTAATTGTGGTTTTTGCTGTTTTTTTAACGGTAAAAACCACAGTGACTTTTGCACCAGCCTAATACATTATGGTGAGTCGTATAATTATTTCATTATATACTATAAAGTAATAATAATAGAAATAAAGTACCCAATAAATGTAATCATCCTAAAACCATCCCTCCACCCCTGCCACCTCAGCAGTCATTAGAAAAATTGTCTTCCATGAAACCAGTCCCTGGTGCCAAAAAGTTTGGGGACCTCTAGTTTGAAACAAAAGAAATGTATTGTCTTATAGCCCCAGAGGCCTTGCAGGATCGGTTCCTTCTGTAGAGTCTGAGGGAGAATCTGTTTCATGCCTTTCTCCTGGATTCTCATGGTTGCCTTGACATTCTCAGGCTTGTAGACAAATTATTTCAATCTGCCCCTATCTTCACCTGGCCATCTTCTCTCTGTGTCTCTCTATCTTCACATGGCCTTCTTTATAAGAATACCAATCATTAGATTTAAGGCCACCCTAATCTGGTCTGACCTCATGTTTTTTGTTTTTTGTTTTCTTTTGAATAGCGACAGGGTTTTGCCATGTTGCCCCAGGCTGGTACCGAATTCCTGGACTCAGGATATCCACCCGCCTCAGCTTCCCAAAGTGCTGGGATTACAGGTGTGAGACGCCGAGACCACACAGCTCATTCTCATCTTAACTAATTACATCTCAAAGACATTCCTTCCAAATGAGTTTACATCTGAGATTCCAGCAGGACATGGATTTTGGGAGGACAGTGTGCAACCCAGAACAGAAGTAGAGCACACATTCATTCTTTCTTCATTTTATGAACCTAAGTATAACCTTCATCAGCAATCATCCACATGCTGTGTCCCCTCTGGGTCTAATTGCTGTATGTGTGTATCTCTTTTTTTCTTTTTCTTTTTCTTTGAGACAGGATCTCATTCTGTCGCCCAAGCTGGAGTGCCGTGGTTCAATCTTGGTTCACTGCAGCCTCAACCTTCTAGACACAAGTCATTCTCCCACCTCTGCCTCCCAGGTAGCTGGGATTACAAACATGCACCACTATGCCCACCTAATTTTTGTATTTTTTTGTAGAGACAAGGTTTCACCATGTTGCCCACACTGGTCTCAAACTCCTGAGCTCAAGTGATCCACCCAAATTGACCTCCCAAAGTGCTAGGATTACAGGCGTGAGCCTCCACACCTGGCCTGTATATGTGTATCTTAAATCCCAAACATATTTTAAGCCTCTCGAGAGTGTGAACAGGCTTGTACACATCTCCATTATCCAAACAGTGGTAAGTACAAGTCTTTCCTCCATCAATACTGTTGATTGGTAACAAGCATTTTGTAATTTAAATATGATCTCTGAAATAGAAACAAGTTACTCACAGCTAAGCAAGAACTCAGGGCCTGCACTTTGAATTCATTTTCTTTCGATTTAACTTGACTGTATGTTTCCCTCCAACCCTCCCTAAGA